ACAGACTGAGAGTGTCTTGGATACGGCTTGATACGAGTGTAACCGAGGAGTTTGTTATTTTTAGGTGTCAACTGTCCGGCTTCCCTACTATTGGCGAGCAGTAAGCAAGAACTACCCAGGGTGGTTCAAAGAACGAGTATATGATGTCTAAACGATACGAGGTGAACTATTCACATTCTTGGGCCGCTTTGGTGAGCTTGGACACTGCGAACTGCAGTCAATTTGTCAGCATCTACTGCCGCTTCAATGGAGAATAAAAACTAGAGCACTCGTGCCACCTGTATACGTCGCCTCCTGAGTTCTGCGTAGTACTTACTCGCCCTCCCCCCCCAAAAAAAAAAAAAAGCCCCTTCATCATCGCGGCTAATTGAGCCGCAGTTGTGTGGTGGAAAAAGTCCAGATGAGGAGCGCAAAGCATCCTCTGGTGCCTAATAAAACCGCCACGAAAGTTCCGACTGAGCGTGCGTGCGGTTTCCGTCCCGTCGTCTCAATCACTTCTCGCGGGATACACGGGTGATGTGCGGAGCGCAAAGGCACCCACACACACACGCCTGTGCTGCGGCTGGCTTTTTGATTAGTGACCGCATGGAGTTCCTGCCGTATGACTGGTGATTGAGGGCCTTCTCCATCGACGAGACGCCCGTCACGGTGTACCAGGCGCTGATCAATTAGCAGGCGTGATTCGTTACATGTTGAATCTACTCCAAGGACAGGCAGAAACCAGACGGTGAGCTCCCATGCAGAATGGTCCGATCTGTCATGGCTGCAGTACTGGTACTGAGCACAGAAAGCTTCAGCGGGCACAGCTACCTCCTGGTATGTATTCGTCGTTTCTCACGTGAAACAGCTGCCAATTTTGATCGGCCTTTAGGACCAAAGCCCCTGCCTCTCGCAGGAAATCTTTTCCAGCTCCCTCGAAGTGATTTTGCAAAGACATACGCTTCGTGATTCGTGCTATATGATATGACCATAGCATACTTAGAGGCAATGCTAATACTAAAATACAAGAATATCGCGCCTTCAGGACCTATGTATTACATGAACGTCATGGGCCGCCACTTCATAGTAGTCAACTCATTGGACGTCGCCCGGGACCTTCTCGACAAGCGTTCGGCCACGTACTCACACCGTCCTCGCTTGGTGCGCACCAGTCTTCTCCCTTCCATGCTGACGGTATCCGAGTTCAACCTAACACATGGCAGGTTATGGCTACTGAGCTCGTGGGGCGGAACACCTTGCTCTTTATGAACTACGGCCCCAATTTTCGTAAAATACGCAAATTGGTGTCGACATTCACCAACGCGCGGACCGCCGCCAAGTACTGGCCTGTCCAAGAGGCTGAGTCGCTCAAGTTTGTGCTGAACATGAAGCGGGTATCTGGCGATGCCATGGAACACTGCCGTTGGTCAGTGACTGTTGAGGACCTATTTCGTGCCGAGTTGTGACGTAATATCATGAACAGGGCAACGACGTCACTCATTATCCGGGTCCTTTACGGCATCGAGGCCAAGGGTAGAGATGACAAGCTGGTGCAGTTAGCTGAGGAATTCTCGCTGATAACCCACAAGGCGGTTCAGCCGGGCCTGTGGCTTGTTGACTCGTTTCCTCTTTGTGAGCTGTCTGTCTTCTGTAGAATATTTATATGTATCCTGCGTGCGAGCTCACACCTTTTAGTGCGTTACGTCCCTAGTTTCTTGCCTGGTACGTATTTCAAGACATGGGCGCGCCAGGCACGTGCTCGCATCGAGGAGTTTGCGACGTTGCCGTATGAGATGGTCAAGAGCAACATAGTGCGTGCCATCGTATATCCTACGGGCCACGTCGTCCTGAAAGAACTTCCCAGAAAGACAAGGGGCGTACTATCTCTTGTTGGACCGCCGATCAGCTCCTATCAATGACAGAGCCTCTGTCTGCGGAGGATGAGAAAGATATCCATACCACAGCGACATCCCTGTACTCTGGTCTGTACCACTCGCCCTCGATTTCAAGACGTGCAAATAAACTGACGTGAGAGAATCCACAGGCGGATCAGACACAGTATGCCTCCTTCCCTCTTCTTTTCCCTCTCCCTGCCTCGGACCTAACTCGCCTATCTGGAGTCCGGTACCGCCATGGCGACCTTCATTCTAATGATGGTACGCAATCCCGACGTGCAGCGCAAGGCACAGGAGGAGATCGACCGCGTCACGGGCGACGGGCACTGGATTCCCGGTTTGCGAGACTGCGCACAGTTCCCGTATATCGGCTGCCTCGTGAAGGAGGTTTTCCGGATCAACCCCATCGCACCGCTCGTACCACATAGCCTTGCGGAGGAGGATGTCTACGAGGGTTATCGCATTCCGAAGGGAAGTTGGGTCATGGCGAACTTCTGGTGTGCATCTTTCTCTTGTGAGTGTGGCGTGGGTAAGAGGGCTGAGAAAGAGTGGCAGGGCATATATGTACGACGAATCGAGGTATCCCGAGCCGTATACCTACCGTCCAGAGAGGTTCGAGGAAAACGAGGGTAAAAAACCACAAGAAGACCCGCTTGACATCGTCTTCGGCTTCGGTCGTAGGTGCGCATCTCTCCCGTCATTCTCGTCGCCATTGTGTCTGACAAGTGCCGTTTAGGGTGTGTCCAGGCAGCCACTTCGGCCTGGCGACTATATTCTTGGCTGTCGTCCACATGCTTTTTGCATTCGACATATTGCCCGCCAAAGACGAGCACGGGCGTGTCATTGTTCCGCCTGCTGAGTTCTGTGGTACGACCCTCGCGTGAGTCAACCCGCTCATGCCATTCCAACAGTGCTCGCTGATTTCATAGGTTCTATTTAGTCACCCCAAGCCTTTTCCGTACCGCATGGAAGAGCGGAGTCCGGAGAGAATTGCTCTTATTGAGCTTGCGCTGGCGAATATGCACATGTAGTGATATTGTGTGGTACGTACTCGTGTAACAGCGAATTGGCCTGGTACTAGTTATTTTATAGCTACCTGTATGAGACAATATCGCACGATTTTGGCTCGTCGTTACATCCTCTCTGGCAACAGTTCAAAAATGTACGAGCATCCCGTGAGATCATCTCCACAAACATGAGTCACGGAAGAAATCGTCAACTTCGTCGTGATCGCCATCTGCCGCACCGTGCTCGATAGAGGCTCAACGAGAGCAACCTGAACGGAAGGAGTCGCTGGATGCATGGGTATTGGAGCTGGCAGACTGCGCGATCGAGGCGAGTGCGTTGAGTTGCTGGCGAGAATATGTGCGAGCATGGTCTTCCTGAGACTACTTTGAGGGCGAGAGGGACCGGGATCGACTGTAGCCGTACTTACACTGGATCGAGGAGATTGTCGACTGGTGCCCGGTCGCGTAAAATGTATGCAACGCGAGCAGAGCGAGAAGAACAATTTCGCCGAAGTGTACGCTCGTGCTTGCGCTCAGGAGCGACTCGATATTCAATGCGGCCGACGGCGTCGCGGAGGAAAAGGCGGCATCAAGGCTGCGGACGTCCCGCACGCTGTCTGTAACTTCAAGGTAAGACAATATAGCGATGGCAATGAGACCCATAACAAATTGCGCGGTGAGCTGGCTGACGGTGTAGAAAATGCCGAAGGGAATGCACCAGAACATGAGGTAGGGAGCGCTGTACGCATTTGCGAAGCCAATAATCGTGACTTCGGCACTGGACGGGATAGTGGCGAAAAACTCATCGCTCTGTTTATGCCAGGCGATGCAGAATTGAACTTGCAAGAGGGGCAGGGCTTGTGTGCGGCCATGGGAGGGCCTGATAATACAACCTCGGGGACCCGATGCTATTCATTGCATGCGGCGCAGAAAGATGTTGCTGCGAGTGTCCAGGATCGTGCAAGGCAGCGGCTCGAATTGGCTGCGCGCGACGATTAGTAGTACGGTGATGGGAAGCACTCCCGCCAAGTTGCTGGAGGTATGGAGCTTGCGCAGCGAACCTGGGCTTAGACTTTTTTCCCTGAAGGCTTCAAAGCTTCGAACTACGCTCGGTAACCTGAATTACGATCAGAAATCGGGTTGTGACTAAGCCATTCAATATTCGGATTCGGGTTCGTCTCAGTCTAGTTTATCTCGGTACAGAATATGGTAGGCGCTACGAGGCGCGCGTAGCGTTGAAGGGCTGTGAGCGTACCAACATTAGAATACGCAACTGAAATGTCTACCATGCGATGAGGAAAGCTATCGTCACAGCACGACATATAGAATAACCACACGCACACGAAAAAATTATCTATCAATATGCACTGAGGCAATCCCTGAGGCAATCCCTGAGACACTACATTTGTTAGAACCGAATAGCTCCATGACAGGACAAGATGGGTTACCACGATGATCTATCTTGACGGCTTAGACGTCGTCGTCAAGTCACGCTTAGGGACGCTCGGTTTGGGGTGAGTCGAGGATCTCTCGAAGAAACTTCTGCTTTTGTACGTCGCCCTTGCAAGCAGCGAGGCGGATGATTTGCGGCCGCTTCAGCTGGACGGTTTGCCCGTCGACGGTGTAAGTCGAGGGAGCGCGGAGGATCTTTTCTGCTGTTATGCCCGCCGTTAAACGAGGGCCATAGGTGTACAGGATCTCGACTTTGCTTGGATGGCAAAGCCGAGAAAGGATCTTCCCGGCCGGTACAGCATCGAGGAACCACTCGAACACAGAGAGCTCGGGCGCATATATGCGCAGCTTTTCCGCGGGGTGCACGTCGAGAGCAGCCTGCTCGATGGCTTGCCAGTCCATCGAAGCGACGTCACCGACCTTGAGCTGCTTGAGGAAGAAGAACTCCACGGACGTAACAGAGGCCGAAAAGCTGTTATTTGGGGCACTTTGCACTCTGATGTCAATACCATGGCTGGCAACCGCCTCCGCGTTTAGCATATTGATTTTCATATCTAAAGATGCCATATGAGCAATGAATTCGAGAATTGCGAGATATAGCCCACCGAATGCGGGAGGGTCCATACCCGTCTGCGCAAATAAGCGAATATTCTTGGACATAGACATGCCGCAAATTGCCCGCGCGGCTCCGTGTAAGACATCCCATTGTGAAAAGAAGTCTCGGAAGACATGTTTGAAGAACCCGTGAGGGGCCTGGACACCCGTGATCAAAAAGGCAAGGTCAAGATCGTCGCTGGAAGAACCGCATTCCGTGACCTGGATCAGCCTGAGGAAGTTTCGAGCCCTCTTGTGACGATGATCAGTGTAGCGAGAGGGGATTTTGTCGTCGAAATTGAGCTTGGTACAGCGCAGCTCGCGCAGTTCCGGGATACTCTGGACGAGACGGAGAAGCTCCGCAGTATTGTGGAAACGCATATCGGAAAGCGTAAGCTCGTTCATGGGGAGCATGGAGCCTGGAAGCGACCTCGGAAGGCCTTCGCACCAGGACGTGGGCGCGTAAGTGTCTTTCGCGATGCGATCCTGGTGACGATACACGCCGCTCAAGCGCAAAGTTGTCCTGCGGGTCCCCATCGACTCCTCTCCATACCTGGCCATTCCTGTGTACACGAGATGAAGCCAAGGCTTCACCCAGGGGCCGCTGTAGTTGATGATGAGGCGGATGAGGCAGTCAATCATTATTGGCTCGACCTTCACTGGAGGATCGATGAGCTCGAGGAAGGTGTCCAGATCCTCACGCGTGCGGAGTGTGAGCTCCTGGAAGATGTGGAATCGGCATCTACGAGCCCAATGGCGGCACGTGAGGCTGAACAGGCCGAGCTCGCGTTTGCACGCGCCAAGTGAGCCTTCGTACAGTTGCACTCAGCGCACCTGCGACAGCGCATCTGGGGTCAAATTGCAGCTCCTCCGTTGATCTTCCCTTGAGCGGGTACAAATTAGAGTTCCGAACGCCGGCGGCCCGCAGTTCCCATGTCGGCAACATATCAAGATCGCGCCGGGGTTCCAACGTGCCGCGCTCGAGCGGACCGACAACCTCCGCTCTTCGCCACACTTCGTTATGATCGTTCGTGCCAGGCCTGTCGAGGGGCGACGAGATTAGATCTGGCGCTAACGTTTGATAAGATATGATGGAGTCGCCATTTGCTGACAAGGTTCGGGCTGTGCCACCATCCCGCTTGCACGCAGAGAACAAAGAACGAGCTTTCAGGCTGGGCACCTACTTTACTTCACAAAATTGGACTATCTTTTCCGCTGGTACTTCCGTTACTGGACCACGGGTAGGTTATTCGACAGACACATTCTGATCTGCGCGTACCAATCTTCATCATGCTCCTATTGTAGCTTACCCAACTTGAGGACCTTGCAAGGACAAAGCGCTGCAAGGAACTGTGGAACGATTGACAAGGTTCAGAAATGTCGCTGGCGACGGCTGCAGATCTTCCTCCAGAGCTCATAGACAACATCGTCCGATGGTTCTGCTGCGACAAGCTCGAGTTCACGTTCGAATACCGAGTGCATGAGCAGCGAGAATAGCCTCATGAGTTAGTCACGGCATCGAATTGGATATCGGCCGCACTCGGAGAACGAGAACGCCAGCGAGCGCGTGATGATACTGTAAGATATGACAGCTACTGGATATACGGTAGACCGCCTCAGCACACTCGCTTTCGCTGCAGACCCTGAACTCATACAGTGAAATTACTATTGACTATGCACAGACATTATAAACATGTGCTCTTGGATAACAAATATCATTGGGCTGAGATATGTTGCCGGCCGCCGGATAGCATGCTAGACAAATTCTGGATGGTAGGCAGGCTTATCAAACCATTCAGGCGACATCTAAGGCACCGAATCTCCAAAATATACTGCGGAGGCGGAGCGGATGGAGACTCCAAGTGTGAACTCCAAATAAGAAGTTCGTGCAGAAGCGGTCTATCATTTCTTCAGTGGCTGGTTGTTGCGGAAGATCTCTCATTTAAGCTGTATGCTAGTCGCAGCTGTTGGAGAGCGACCATACAAGCATCATGTCAAAGCGTATGGGAGATTGCAGAGCCGTGTCACGAATTTTTCCAGCCTAGTGCAACTCTGAGCTTGTATGAGAGGAGCCACTCAGCTCCAAGAGCAAGGTTAACGCTCCACAGCCCCAGCGCGACGGCGTAACGGGGCTAACCAGTAGGAGACAACCGCATCACAGTGACGTAAGACTCGTGAGAGTAAGTACCAGTAACACACCAAGAAAACAGCTGTCTTCTTTTCCCCCACCGGCTAAATTAGCTTCACGGCAGGAATTGGTTGCAGCTCATATTCCCGTGAGTTTACGTGTCTTGCTATTATCCCAGCATTTGTGTTCTACAGCTCGTTGAAACGATAGACCACCTTGAAACTTTTGTTAGGATAGTAATCGATCCTCCGACCTTAATCCAGAGCGACTACTTCAAGTTTTAAGTGTTGTGCGGGCCCGACTTCAGGCCGTCGAGCCGTCTAAGCCAGCCGTTTCAGGCCAGGCCAAACCGGCCTTCATGAGCCCTTAGTAGCACAGCTTAGGTGGCACACTCCGACTCGGCCCTTGCACAAGCCGCACGGCCCAGGCCATGGAGCCACAGCCTGCGGGTGCCAAATGAGGATCCTTCATTATCCCTTCAAACACATAAAGAGGGTGACACACAAGTTGAACGTGTTGCATAGGACGCACCGCAATATTCTGATAGTCCTCGATCGCCGCTTTTGAGAGCGGCGATCACGTCGTCACAAGGGGTGCCGCCGCTTCTCACACTTCTTCTATGAAAAGCAATATTTGTAATTTTTTGGGCCCGCGCCACAAACTAGGTGAGAAGAAACCTACTTGCGCCTTCGACCTTCCATGGCGCTATTGTTGCTCTTCGCTGTGTTGCCGCCGCTCTGCCACCGCCACCGCCGTTTGACTGCCGTATACTTGATCGATGTTATAGGTCGCCGTACAACTTGCCGCTCCGTCGGACTGGTCGTACAGGTACAGTACAGCATCTCGGTAACTGAACTTCAAGAACATCTGCGAGTCGCCGAGTCTCCGATAACATTACGAAGAGGGTAAGCACCTGATCCATTCAATCTACACACTTTCAGTGAAGTTCTAAAAATTCGATGGCAGAACGAAATCGTTTACCATCTGCTTAAGCTCGCAACTAATTCTACTTACTTGCCGTTGAGCCGCAGCTACAGGCCCAGCCGGGCCCGCACAACACCGTTGGGCCCACAGCCGCAGTCAGTGTTCTACGCCACACTCACAGCTAAGCGCCTGCTACTCCACGCCGCGTGATGCAAGCCTCAGAGAAGCTCACCGAGCCGGGCAGCAGCTGCTGTGGCGTGGAAATGTGACAGCAGATGTCAACTTGGAGCCGGTGGCAGTCGGAGCGCCGGCCCATGGTTGGCACGAGACACACCGGACAGAGTACCAGTGGGGCAACTCTGTCAAAATTCGCACATTGGAGGAAGACTTCAGATGGTGAACGCTTCAATTGCTCACTTAGGGTGGATATGGGCCATGGAATACTGGGATGTCGAAGATGGCCCTGGCGCAGGCATACCACTCTATTCCTGGCCTGACGTCGTGCATGTACGAGCTAGATCTTCTGGGGCTCAGACACACATGCCCTTTGTCTGTGTAGACTATTGCAACTGTAGTCGAACCAAAGAGCATCTCGCACATCTCGGCCCATGTACTATCTTGTTCAATGCAATCTGCACAAACGAATATATGAATTTAACTTGACGCACAGCTAAATGATTGACGGAATCGCTTTCAAGCTTTTTTTTTTTTTTGCAAGATACTCCTTTTTGAACAAAGTGGGATTTCGTTGTATTAATGACCAGCGGACAGGTGCCAAGTGCTGGCATCAAACTCCCAAGTAGTGCGTAGTGCGGACGGAACAGAAGGTGGGTTCGATGTCGGCTCAAGCAAGTTTGGAATTTACAGCCCTACAAGTCACTAATTGTGAATTCCAACATAAAGTTTGCATCGGCTGACGGGCAGCTCGTTACGTTGTGGCCGCATCATGATGGCTGTGATATCGTATGTCCGTATCGCGATACTCACTTTTCCTTGGAACACTGAGCTTCTCTGAGAAACTAGAACATGCATCATGTGAGAGTGTCTTCATTTCTGAAGCTTATACAACGAGAACTTGAATAACGGAACGTGAGTGACGGTAGTGGTAGTTAGCGGTAGAAGTGCATGGGGTCTACGTGATTGCCGCTCGACGTCCGAACTCTTATCAACACGTGGGTAAGTCACAAGATTTAAGACACCGTGTCTGTAAGCTTCATGCTCCAGCTAATTTCGCAGGGCTCAAGAGCGTCCATCTCGCCACTACCATACGTGACCCCGCTCAGCTGGAGTGGTGTAGCTGCTTCCGCGTGCCATACTAGTATCACCTTCCAAACCATGTTATAAGAGAACTCTGGTGTAACGTGACGACCTTGTCGTATGTACTCTATTTCCTAGATCTCGCCACGCTTTTGACGTTCGTTTTGGGATTGGAGTTACACAGATATCAAAGTCTACCGTTGCGGGACCCATGCCTTTCCTACAGGAACCTACTACCTATTCTTGGCACAAGAGAGGTTGCCGTGGGTTTTTGTGTGCTCAGTATGCGTCGAGTCGCGTCTTGGTCGAGAAGCGACCGATTTGTTGTCAGAGACAATACGTTACTCGGTGAGAATGGTAACCCGTGCCCCATCGAACGTGGCATTTGGTATCCACGTATCAAGCACCCGAGCGTCGACATCGAGCACTTCAGCGATAGCAGCGGTCTTGGGGACATCATATGCTCTCTTGTCTTCGTGTGCCCGACGTGCCCGCCTTGCAGCGGCATGGTCACATATACTGTCTTCTACCAGCACCGAATTCGCGTCGAAAGCGGGCTAGGACGTCACGGCTCTGTGCACAGCGTCGAGCGAGCTGCGCAATCCGGGGTGGCTGCACCGTCTCCTACTTGCAGGGACCACACGTCGTCTTACTCTACCTCTCAAGTCGCTCCCAAAGACGGGCCTTGGAGAAGTCTTGTGCCCTGCTCTGGCGGCCGCCTACCTGAACTACGACCGTATCGCTCTGGAGCAGCGACTGCGGACTGTTGCTGACCACCTGTCGTCGTCTGGCCCCCTGAACGCTATTGAACAGATCTGTAAGACGAAGAGCAGATTTAATTCAACCGCAAGCTCCAAGTGCGCCCTATGGCCGCAGATTCCACGTTAACGGACTGATAG